TCTCTCTATATAATATATATATATATATATAATATATATATATATATATATATATATATATACATATATATATATATATATATATATATATATATATATATATATATATATATATATATATACATATATATATATATATATATATATATACATATATACATATATACATATATATATATATCTATATATATATATATATATATATATATATATATACTATACTTTGCAAGAACTGATTGAGATTCGTATATCTATCTATCTATATATATATCGAGTTATCTATTGATATATATATATATATATATGTGTGTGTGTGTGTGTGTGTGTGTGTGTGTGTGTGTGTGTAAAATATAAAAAATACGATGACTTTGCTGTACGCGAGCAGGCAACCTCTAATTAACTTTTCGCAATTTCAGGATCTCCCCCCTAGACCAGTATTTTCGAGAACATTCGGCCATGTTAGGTAACCGCTCCTATAAACGAAGAATTCGAGCTATTTTGCGTCAAAAAGACCGCTTTTTTCCTCTACTGCTGTTAAGACCTATGCTGCTGCTCTTCTCATCTGCCTCCCTTTGTTTGCATTGTATGTCACAGTAAATTTAAAGTTAATATAATTTAGTTCAAATTACTATCGCATATGTAATCTTCAATGATCTGACATTTGCACTGAATAAAGAGAGGGAACTAAAAAGTTAAATTCCTCTGTGTTTTCAATTCTGATGTTTTCCACTTTTGCCACGACCACACCCGGACTCTGAAGCGACCAGATTGCTAAGTTTCATCATTTCCAGTGCCTGTTTGCCAAAATATTACATATATATATATATATATATATATATGTCGCAGAATATATAAAGTTGCAGGAACGAAGTGCGTTGTGTTTAAAATGAGATCCTAATTCAAAATTGGTTAGTTTCGATTTCAATACCGTTTGATTGGATAATAAATAAAGCTCTAAAATTATTATTGGCTTAAGGCTTAAATAAGTTGTTTTCGTCGGAGCTTTATATAAAAGTCATATGATATGCATTAATCTAGACATGATGCTATCCAGAGGAGGTTATCCTATTTTTATAATAGAGAGAGGAAATATCCAAATTAAAAGGAAGATTGAAGGAACTTCTGCTAATTTTAGTTATGATTTTTATTTGCATGTTTTTATCTTACACACCCGTTATATATATATAATTAATGTAAATAGGTAAGGAATTTAAAACCTAACAAAACTCGCTTAAATATTTGAAGGTAACCTATCTTGTTTCCAGAAAGACGTTATAAAAATTAAATACTTAAAAATAATACAATTCATGAGCTAAACATTTTACAACAGGAAAAATAGTAGATACATATATATTATTTATATATATATATATATATAGAGAGAGAGAGAGAGAGACAGTATTATAAAAATTTTTAAACAAAAACATCCGAAGAAAGAAAAAGTTTATAAACATAACCACAAAGACCAAAGAAAAAATGAAATTAATGATTTAAATCTCTTACTGTTTTTATCTATCTAACTCTCTCTCTCTCCATATTACTATATATATATATAATATTTATATATTATTGTATATATGTGTATTATGCTTAATAAAAGTTCTTGTGGAATTCCTAAAATAAATCTTTATTCAGCACTGAAAGCACATTCTACAAGTGTTTCGAATTTATTATTCACTTAGATATAAATTAAGTCTTAGCAACATGTGCCCTCTTTGATTTTAGTGCTATTCATTTTCCTGAGCTAAAATACATGTATGTAATGTCATTCGACTATATTTTCTGACGCAAACAATTGCCGCAGAATAAGCAAACCTCTCCGAGTTCAGCTGGAGAATCAGCTATAATAGCAATTTGTTTCATTTAACGATTAATTTCGCAGCCATAAAGCCGTTTTATTCCAGAGGAATCCAGCATCGTTTAATAAAGTCGAAGGGATGTTAAGGAATATTAACTTTAATGCATTTCTAGCAATTACTTATTTGTTGTTAAAAATGAATGGCAACTTATTAGAGCTAGTTTAGTAGCAGTTCATTAAACTTAGTTGAGAGCATGTGACGAAACAGATTTTATGGTATTAATCTGTGATTGCAACAAACTGCCCAAGGGTTTATTTCATTGTTTTTGTACCTTCACTAATACATTCTTCATTGGAAGAATGCTTCGTACTCAGCTTCAGCGTCTGTAAGGCTTCTCTGCTGCGTTGCTATGGGAACTTAGTTGGCTTATGAATATGAATTCTTTTCTCACTTGAACAGCTTCTGTCATTTTTGGAATACCCGTCTCTGTCTCTCGCGTTTGTCATTTTAAAGGCTTGGAAAACGCTTAAGATATGTATAGGTACTCACTTAGCTAACTTTATTAATCATACGTATTTATTTTATCCACTATCACTATAAGACACAAAACAAATATTACGCGAACCGACATCTGACTAATTGAGCCTTATAAAAGCTTTCTTTTGTCATCTGAATTTTAATAAAAAAATTAAATTATCTGTATATAAGTCGACAGTGCTATTTTTGCCCAAATATATATGCAATAAGTAGTTTATTCAGTACATTTAGTAAGGCTTTTAACCTTCAGATTACCATTATAAAGAAAATTTCGAATACGAAAAGAAAATTAATTTATTTATTTTTAGCAAGGTCATATTCAGCCTTCAGTTTTATATGCTTATCTGATGTACAAAGTACAAGAATGTAAATACTACATACAATTGTAAACAAAACTGCTATTATTTTTAGCAAGGTCATTTTCAGCTTTCAGTTTTATATACTTATCTGATGTATGAAGTACAGGAATTAAAGTACTACAAACAATTGTAAACAAAAGTGCTATTATTTTCAGCAAGGTCGTGTTCAGCCTTCAGTTCTTCTGTTTTATATGCTTATTTGATGAACAAACTACAGAAATTTAAATACTATATACAATTGTAAACAAAACTGCTATTATTTTTAGCAAAGTCATATATGCTTATCTGATGTACAAAGTACAGGAATTTAAATACAACATACGATTGTAAATAAAACTGCTATTATAAGGTTGAAAATCTTTTGCCTTTAGAGAATAAAACAAGACGATTTTTTTTTTCATTTTGTTTCATGCTATTGCAGTATACTAAGTTCTTAAAACTTTAAAAAAATATTCAGCTGGAAAAGCTACAACTGCAGAAAAGAAAAATCTTTAGCATTTAAAAATATTCTGAAAGTGGAAATTTAGTACGGTAATGCAAAAGTAATAGACTGCAACAATTCTAATTATCTTGCGATTAGTATTATTATTTAAGGATATTTTAAGCAGTGCACAGCTCCAAATAATCATGTTTGATTTTTTTTTCATCATTTCTCTTAATTCTAACAATCAACGCTCAGATTATAAGAGTTAATCGCATTTTTTCCCTTCCAAAGCAAGAAATAAATCCCCAATTAAAACATATTGATTCAACTGCAATGCTGTAGGGGGCGTATTGCGTAATTGCTACTCCGCGAAAATGGTAAATGTTAAGGGAAGAAAGACGTAAATCCTCCTTTTGCTCTTGCTTCGTTAATAGCCCTAGATATTTACACAAGTTGCGTTTTATTCTTTTTAAGTATTTGAGATAATCACTATGAAACTTCGAGATAAAATGTGCCGCACGCATCGATTATTTGCATTTAAAGAGTATGCTACACGAAGCAACTAAAATAGCCTGATAAAAATTTCTTTCATAAAATCCGAAGTTCCAAGCCTTACGGGCTTACTATGTTATTAAACTGCAGAAGTATTAGCCGTTTATTTAATTGAAGCATCTGCAATAAACTAGATTTTACTCATAATGTTGCAGTGAGGGAAGAATAAAATTAGCCAGATGTGGCTTAAGTCTTACGGCATGCGCTGTCGTAAAGGATTGAATGAGAAAAATCCCCGCACACTGGCAAATACTTTCAGGTTTCTTCATCTGGCGTCAGACCTATGTGGCCTGAAGTTTAGTCTGTTTTTAAATAAACTTTGAATAAAGAAAATAGGGAGATATTTCTATTTTTTAAAAGTCTTCCACGAAGGCGTCTATCTTTATTTTCTGCTTCATAATAAATAAGTGTATGTTTCTAAACAGCATACAGACCCAATAAACAGAGATTTCAGAGCAGAATATTTCAAAATTTTATGTTGCTTCATAAATTATATAATATACGTATGCTGTATAAACAACCGAATAAACAAACTGAAATGCATTATTTATAATCATGATAATTATTTTTGTTACTATATTATAAATAATGTATTTCTTTTCGTTTATTTGATTATGGCAAAACACTCGAAGGCTATATCCCTAAGGAGAGGAATGATTTCGAGGAGGACTCTCAAATGGAAACTCTCAAATGGCTCGTATACAACTTTACTCATGGGAAAAACCAATAATTCCTTTCATTTTTAATTATAAATTGGTGTCTTTTGTATTCCAGAAATTTAAAAGTTACACTAAAAGTGAATATCTAGTTTTATCTTGTAAAGACATTAGCTTATTTCGAGGCAGGAGAGATGAAAAATGAGCAATGCTCTCGCCGGCGTGCTGACCGACGCCGAGCGTGCTGACCGACGCCGAGCGTGCTGACCGTTACACCACGAAGGCATGCTAATAAGGTGGGAGAAATACCTTATAACTTGATAAGTCACTTACCTGTATGCATTTTATTTTAACAACAATCATTTGAAGGAACTATTATCAGATAAACTTCATTTGTGAAATAACACTGTGTTTGTGTCAGTTAATTTTTCAGTGTAATTAATTCAATAATTTTAAAGATGTACTAAAAATTATACGTGTATACAGAAACTGCATTTTTTAATGTGCCTTTTTAAAAATGAATATCTTTCTTCTCTGAGAAATTAAATATTATTATTCAACAGTTAATCACATAAAGCAGTAAATTCGTATTTTTATTTAAAATATTTTACATAGGAAAAATCTTAAATTATTACATAAACTTCCTAATAAATACTTTGCTTTTCTTTTTCAGGTCAGATTATGACGAACGATAAAGAATGCTTAGCCGAAGGTGGAATCTGTACTCTGAGGACTTCATGTCCTAAAGATAGTACTGTAAATAAAACAGCTCTCTGCCAGCGAGACGACGTTGATGCAGTCTGCTGCAATTCAGGTATATAAATTATCTCTTAGCCTAAGTTCAATCAAACATGTCTGCCTCGTAAATTAGTCATTGTATTATATTCAAGTAAACATTAGCACTCATCTTTGTAAAAGACTTCTACCATAAATAGTAATAATTTATAACAGTAAAGTTTCGATGCAAGAAAAAATGCGTATAATTTAATATTCCGTGCAAGGAAGTCATGTGGTGTACACATCAGATGTTTTTTAATGAAAATCTTTTTCAAAGACTCCTTATTTTAACTCTGTGTATTTCAAATTGATTTTGGTATGTTATGTTTCAAATATTCTGGGCCATTAACTACTGTGTTATGAAAATAAGTTTAACAAAATGCAGTATTGTATAAGAAGCACGAGAATATTATGCAAAACTGTTGTCTTGATAAATTACAGTGTATTATTCTTTATTACTAATTTTAATATAAAAACTTCCTTTGTTTTATATTTTCGAGGGCAGTTAGATTTATCATTCTGAAGAAAATACATTTGTGAACATTACATAATTAAGACTCTCGGGAGTACACAAATTATCAGATAATATTTACAAACGAATTTGGTTTTCTTATTCCATTAGCAGGAATTATGTACGAAATAAAGAAGCAAGATAATAGAAGGAATTGTTTTAACATTTTCCATGTCAACGAAAATCCTTACCCGGCCTTTATTTTCGATATCATTTGTAGTAGACATATACTGTAAGACATAAAAAATGTTTTAAATGACGCAAATATTCATGTTTTAGCAGTTTTAAATTTTTTAAAAAATGTAAAATTTACTAAATCCAACTTTTTACACGTTCTCACACCTCTATACTCATACTTAGTAAAATTTTATACTCATAATAGAAAAACGCAATATTAAAAATGTGATCTTCCGTGCAATAAAAATTTACCGAAATATTTAATATTAAAGTTAAACATTATATTCAGGGCTGTACATAAATTAAAGAGAGAGGTGTTTGCATTTCTGCTTAAATAAAAGAAAGATATCAGTGTAGGAAAATATTTCTGACGTTAATAGATTACGTTCGAGGCATTTCTATAAATATTATCGTGGAAACTATTGATCAATATTTTTTGTTTCAAACAAGAAATCTTATTTAAGGAATCTTATAGAATTCTTATTCTAGAAAATATTGGCAAGCTTTAGTATTGCCAGATTGCCAACTTGTAACATTGTTCGCATAAATTAAAAATTAATTTTTTTCTAATTTCTATAAATTTTTTGTATGATTCTAGATTAGGATTCTATATTAATGAAACTTCATGAGAATATTAGTTACGCATTTCTAACGTTTCAAAGCTTATAAATTACTTCTTATTCTTTCTTCACATATAAATTAAAAATTCTTTCCGTATGCGAGTTGTAGCAAAATTGTAAAATAAATCACATTACACGCTATTAAATTACAAAAAAATCACTGAATGGCATTTAAGGGTAAAAAATTATTAACGAAGGAATTATTCATGAGCGAACCCTCAAGTCAAGTTGAAAATGACGTCAAAAATTGCAAAGTTTGAAATTAAATAATAATCAGTTTTTGGCATATGTGATTCTTGCATTCTCTTTTTGATAATGAATATGATATTTCCCTAAACATAAGTATAGGGACAAGGGGAACGTTCAAAAAGATATATATGATATTTTATATGAAATTAATAGCTTTTATTTTAAAAATGAGAAAACATGAATCTTATCGTCATTTAAAATATTTTTGTAATTTTAAGTATATGTCTACAACCAACTGCCACGAAAAGAAAGACCAGATGTAAGACTTTTATGCACACGGTGCGTATAAATCTATCTGGTCATCTATCTATACAGTAATGTCCAAAGTGAAAGGAAGAAATGTTTATGCAACACCTAGCTGAAGTGTCAACACCTAGCTGTCTTTATTATCTGCTGCTACATGTTTTCAAAAAGGGGAGCTAGTTTGCTGAATCATTCAAAGCAGGAATCACTAAACAAGCTCGAGTTCATACACATTAACTGCTCCCTGACAGGTATCACTACCTTGATGAAGCACATTATTTAGGCATTTACTCGTATTAACATGCCCTAAATATCATTGCCAATTATGGGTTCGTTCTCTGTAAGTAATCACTCCATATGAGCAGGAAGAAATTGAGAATTTATCGTATTTTGTAAAATTCTACTGGAAAAGAATTAGCTGTAAGCAGCTCAAGGAATATGGGAATATTAGGTAAATTCTCCTTAGCATACCAGAAATGTATTCACTCACACAGCAAACTCTAAGGCGCAATTCAGTAAAGTCTCTTTACACGGCTGAATCTCTCAGACCTGAATAACAACCGATAACTCAACGTTCTTTGCCTTCCTGGTTCTCGGAGCCGTATTTATATGGTGTTGCAAGGGCTTCTGAAAGCTTCTATTTGGATAGCAGCACATTTTTCACTGCTTTCCCTGCACTTTTCGGGTAGCACGGCAGGATAAAAATCTTTACTTTATCAATACTGTGTACTTTAACAATTGTCAAGCAATGTTATTAGGTTATATATTCATGTTCTTGTGTGTTAATTTAGAAAAAGGAAATTGAGTCACGGTATCAGAGGCAAATTCAATAAATTTAAAAACTAAGTAGCTAAACGTGAAACGCTTATAGTGATATGAAAAGTTTGGAAAGATTTTAAGTAAAGCATCTTTTTATGCGATCCTACATTGTCATGAGTACAATCTAGCAGTAATGAGATACATATAGTGCTGTGTAATGCGGTTCATTGATTTAAATATTCTGAATTACATATCAGATCACATTCAAAATATACATTACATGACATAAAAATCCAGGCACCATGAAAGTGTTACCCAACAAAGACAAAAAATTATCTGAATTTAAAGAAAAAGAAATTATTGTAGTTTCAGAAAAACTGCATGATTAATTCGAGAGGAAAAGGCTGCACAAAGTGAACATATCAATGAGGAATTGCTTTATGTATGATGTTGATTCAAGCTATTACAGTCATGGCATCGACTTACAATGTTGTTGAAGGATGGCTTGCATTATTTCTTGCCAAGTTTTCGCCAGCTCCGTGAGAAGAGAAATGACAATCTAGCTGACTAAGGAAAGGTTTGGAAAGCATCAGTAGAAATGCATTCCGTATGGGGCTGGATATCATACTGTCGAAACATAAGCCCGGAGCAACACGAAAGGGAAGGCAGTGCAAGTCCGCCTATCAAAGAAAATGTCATCTCAGATCATAACTCCCTGTGGTTGGCCAATGTGGCGTGCGAATACAAAGCTCCTAACGCAATCCTGGAGGACTTCAGACACGTCTGAGCTGTTCATAGAAACTAGTTCGAACCGGAACTTGTTACCTAAGATAATTAATTAGTCTTTAGTCAGTGAAATTTCAGGTCGATCTACTCCGGCATTACTGCAGCTAGACTAATGTAATCACTGTTGTGAAATGGTGAAAAATAAGGTACCTAATGTTCGGTTGCGAGCATAGATTTCGTTCTTGGTCCTGCGCCAAGTTGGATTCTTAGTCCTTAGGCGTTCCTTCTGTGTGAGTCAAACGTCAGATAGTTGAAACAGATGAATCGGGTGCTATGACAGCCACCCTCGCTGTCGCCCTCGGTCGATGAATGCTGCCTTGATACTGAAATCTACACTTTCCAGCCATTCCTGATAACATCCTCTAATCGCCATATTAATGACTCAAACTTTGAGCAGTTTTTCGATTTGCATACTTTTTCACTTTGAGTCCAATAACACGGGGACTTTTAAACTGTATTATGAGCTGATGTACTAAAACAAACCCAGTTAAGGGGCATTGTTATCGAGAGTCGAAATCAAAATTTAATGAAAATTTTGCCTTTAAAATTACTTTTGTCTTATTAATATACTGTCAGGATGATGATTAGTTCCGATATGCTGTTCATTCAACGGCCATTAAATTTTAACCATTTGCCTGTTAGGTTAAAATTATTTGAATATGAAGTTTTATTAACACTGGATTATTTTTTCTGGTTGCGTTGATTTTGTCTTAGAAAGAAAGCTATCGAATCTCCCGCTGCCAACCACCATGTAATTTTAACGTGTCCACAAACATATAATCATTACCACAGGTGTGACGTGTGGCGTGGCATTTCGCAACTTGCAACCCTCAAAACAATGCATATAACAGTCGCTAGCGATATTTAGCAGCCACAGATTAGCAAACTTAATGTTCCTGTGAGAGTTAAGATAGTTTATCGTCAATAGTTTTCACGAATTCCATCATTAAATTGTACACGTCATATACATGCGGCAATCTATGGCATGGTAATGTGGTGGGACAATTGTAAACAAACTTAATGTATGCACCGTAAGTAGGTAATAACTGTTCTAACATTTCTGGTAGGAGGGTGACATACATCACATACAGTAAAAAGTGTATGTTCGAATGAAAGAGATGTTTGAGGTGAAGAAAATATGTGCTGTTTCCTCAATTTAACGGGTGGTAATAACTACTAAATACAGGTAGATCGGTCTGTGTTCAAATCCCAGCCAAAAGAATTGGCTGCATGGGCGTTTTCGTGTATTTCCCCATATGTAATGTGGAAACGAGCCAATTTCTCCTAAAAAGTCTTCCGCTAACGCATCTCTCCCCTTAGGCAGATAGCCCTCGAGTGTTTCGCTATAATCAAATAAACCAAACCATAATTTAACATTTCAAGAATATGTCATTTTAATTTTTCTTGGGAAATATCCTCGCTGGATTAAAAGACCACTAAAAAATAGAATTTGAACTATATCTCAAATAACTTGTAAGTTCAACATATCTATAGACTGGATTGGATTGAACTTATTTATTCAATATACGGGATGTAAGGGCTATTTAACAACAAGAAGCAATTAAGTTTTAGTTTAAAGCAGATGAACAAACATTTTTGAAAGAGTATGTTCAGCCAACTCAGATCAGGTGTTTATACGACCTGATGTTTTTAGTTGGTACTGTCAGCTTCATTTATTGGAGAGAAAACTATTGATAATTAAACTAGTATCAGAAGCGCTTGGTAGTCTTGAATTGTTTGTAATATTGGAAAGATTCTGCAGCGATTACCAAAAATTGTCTTTTATTGCTTCAAACCATAAGATTTGAACTTAATATAAGCTAACATAATATAATAACTTAATATATAATATAGGATAATAATAAAACAGTGTTAGAAAGTTTTATGATAGATTTAAAATAACTTTTTTCTGTCATTAACCTCCGCATACGCTGACTGTTGGTCAGGAAAAACTTAAATTGCCGTATGTCAGGATTTTATTAAATGATAGTTTGCAATCTGCTTTTTAAATTAATCTTAATTGGCTATGAAAGTTTGCGTTTTGCTCATAATTAATAACTAAAGCGACAATTTTTTATACGAGCCGGTCCAAAATATCGCATCGTTGGCCTCAGAAGCTACTAAACTTCGATATAAGATTTTCGAATAAAATTTTTATTGTCGAAATTCTTTGATCGGCAAGGGATAGTTTAAAAATAAAAACTTGATTTTTAAGAGCAGATAGTAAACTCCATATGTACGGCATAGAAGTTGACCGATGTTTGAAAAGCATTCATCCTATTGGGCCAAAACTCTCTGAATCAGCTAACTGGATTTTGTTGCAGGATAATGTTCTTTCGGGTGCTATCATCAAGCAGTTCACAACAAAGAAATATGTAACCGTTCTCAGTCCTTCCCTTTATCCGTCAGAGTGAGTGGATTACTTTTATTCTCCAAAACCGAATCTCTCCTTAAAAGAGGTCTAGACTGAAAATTTCAAAAATTCAGAAAAGCGTAATATGGAACCTAAAGAATAATTTTAAAACTTAATATCACGAATAACAAATTTAATATCCGAAATAGCTATGAATGATTTTACAGGTATATGATTAAGAGAAATGTACGAAAAAAGTTTAGTAAAGTTATTTACTAGAAATATCATTTATTTGTGAATTCAATCCCGAGACTTCATAGTTACACCTTGTATATTGTTAGTATCGCTATAAAAATGCAATATTTTTGCAATGAAATTAGAAGGAAATATGGCATATTTTTTATTTAAATTTACTTTATATCTTGAAAATCTTCTGAAAAAAATGCATCTCGATTAATATTTAGATAGTTTGCATAGCATTAAAATAGATATTTATTTCTGGTGTTTTTTAATATTACGTTAAATTTCTCTGAAGTGTAATACATTTAATTTTTCTTCAGAACAATATTTTCATTTATACTGTTTTGAAATATTTTACTTATGATGTGTGAGTAAAGTAATAACCACAAACTTCTATTTTTTCATTTTATTAATTAATTTCGCATAATCATTTTATTACTTTATTAGTTCCCAGAGAAGTGCATTCTTGTCACCAACATGGAGGCCGCTGTGGTCAAGACGAAGAATGTCGCAACGTCCAGAGTTTCGGCCAACTGGACTGCAACGAGGGCAGCCGATGTTGCCTTCTTATTTATTGATCACTGCTAATCTTTGTCCATTTATACAAACATAAAGTAACAATTGATTTATGCTATTAATTATAGCTGCTCGATTTAGTGAAATCTTTATTTTATGTAAGAATTATATTGATATGTTTATTTCAATATAATTAAAAATATATGTTAAACCACAACGACCATTTTTTCGTATATTTTTAATATTTATTTACGTAATACTTACTATTTCACACATAATATAACATCCTTACTTAAAAGTATTACTGTAGTTGCCAAAAAATACAGATGGTAATTAAGAATTAAATTTTTAACTGAATTATATTTTTCAAAACGCCCTGACTTTTTTTAAGTTTCTTTAAATGAATAGAATTTAACTGAGTGCAGCATAAACTGCTTAAAGTGCGGTTAGAAAGTACACACATGCTTTATTTTAAGTAAATACACAAACGTATCCTTTGAAGCCTTTGAAAATTTCTTGAAAGTGAATACGGTTTCCTGTATTCAAACAAGTTTTATGCATCCAAATGAGTATTTGGTTTTTTATATTCAGGAACTGTTTCAAAGTTTTTAACACATTGCTTTACACTCATTATAAGAAGAACAGGAACGATTCTAAACATTATGCCAAACATTATGCAAAAATAACATTCTAAACATTATGTAAACTTAATATTTATATAAAAGGTTAAAATTTTATAATAATAAATTTCGACGGATTTTTTTTTTTTTTTTTTTTTTTGCTTTAATTTAAGACGCTGTTTAGAATATTTATTGTATTCTGTCTAAAAATCCTGTGTTTTAAAGAAAAAGAATCATCTAGATTCTTTTTTCTTAAAACAACAGGATGAATTTGTAAAACACAAATTTTTTTTTTCACGAAACATATCTTAAAAATCACGAATTTGAATTTTTTTTATTACCCTTAAATACATTTAAAGTTATTTTTTCATGTTTTATGCTGTACTAAAAGAGTATATCTAATGAAAAATATATCCAATGAAATGATTATATGAGAATTTCTATATAAAAATAACTTGATATCTTTGAAACGAGGCTCTGCTAAGATTTCAAAACAATAGAAACAACATTTTGGCCATTTCTGGCATTGTATAATTAATCTAGTGGGCATAAATATTCCATGCATACGGATTTATCAACTCTGCTGCAACTGAATGGATTTTCTTGCATTTCGCTACTTTATACCTAATTTGGAACTATTAAACTTAATTTTGAATCTATTAAACCTAATTTAGGAATGGTTGCTGTAGAATCAAATCGGACTCTTTTAACTTTCAAGGATTCAACATCATGGCTTGCAAACTATACACCACCATGCAGGTTTTTGAAATGTTCCAGAAATTTAGACGTTTTCAGTTTTGCATTTGAAAAGATAGCGTCACAAGTTGTTCCATTGCAAGTGAAACCCAATTTCACATGATCATTATTCCAATTTCTTCACTTTGATATCATGAACGTTAATAGTAATTTAAGAAATAAAACCTAAAAATATGGATCAAGTTGATTAGAAGAAAAATAACTATGGGTAAGTAATATAACGTAAGTATACTTACAATTTATTTGAGGCAGAAGAGAAATGACGAGGACATGAACATAGAATTACCACAAAATGTACTCAATTTAATTAGCGTACATTACGTTGTAAAATGCAACTGACTTTAATAATATGCGCAGCAAATTTGATATTGAATGCGCAGGAAATATGTTTTGTACGCGCACCATTGTCATGGGTGTAATTTTTAAATTTAATTTATTTTCAACAAAACTTCGCAGCCACTAGAATGCTATTTCACACCTCTGGTCGGGAATCGTTAGATTATGGTATGTTATGTATTGTGAGACAGGACTCGAACCAAGAACAAGATCATGCTAAAAATTAACAACACAAATTTGACATTATTAACAACACAAATTTGATGTCTAAAATTTTAGTAAATTCCTTTCTCATGTAATATGAAAGATGCGACGTGAAGAACCCAAATACGACATCTAGTTTTTGCTTACACCCACCAGTTTTTAAGGTAACCAAAAGATAAAGCCTTTCTGCCGAGAAATTTCTCTTCAAATCAGAACCCTTTCTTATATTTAGCTTTAAAGAAGAATATACGATCGAACTGGATTACTTGGTTATGACAAAATAAACTAAGCTTATCTGCCCAGATAGAAAAATGTCTTCATGGAGGACATTTATGAGGCACTAGATCATATATAGACTACATATGGGCGACACCAAGAGAACTCCATACAGCCAGGCCGTTTCTCAGGATTTGAAACTGTAAAACTACCTGTTTTTAACGGTCTTATCCACTAGTTCAAAGACGTAAATTAAACTCCAGTTTTATGTGCAGCTATGGTAAATAAATGTGTCCCTTTCCACTAAGTTTTCATGTGACACATTTTTTCGCCAACAACATTATTTTCAAGTTAAAGCGATTTTTTTATCTTTTTTATGATATAGAGGCTGCGTCTGTTTGACTATTTCATTCGCATAAGGGGACACAGTGTTCGGTATCGCGTAAGTGCCACGGTGCTTACCTTAAAAGTGCAAGTTGCAGGAGCAGAAGGAAATTCATTCACATTTTTAGAAAGCTATTATTAATCACCAATTCAACTCAAACTAGCTACCCTCAAAGATAGACTCTAAATATTTTATGCGACGTTTGACTTTCCTGAACTTCTTAGTTCTCCTGAACGATTAATTAACTACTCACGTTTAACAAGAAATTAAGCATTAATACACTAATACATTGTACATTCTGTAGGTTACAAAAACCAAAAATTACGACTGCTACTACTTGCGCGAACCAATTTAAAGAGAAATAAAAAATAAAATTGCTTTGCTTTCACACAGTTAAATGACAGCCCTTCAAAGACTCAAAACGGCAAGTTAAAATAATATCACTGTTGATTTACCACTCCTGCTTCTAATCACCAGTTGAAGAGAAAGCATCAATTCACCTGGTCATTATTTAGGGTATCCATGGTATCCATCACTTTTAATGGAAATGTTTTGCGAAAGAAATGTGTAATATTTCATTACTTCCGAATTTTGAGAAGCATAATTAATATTTTAGGTAACCTGAAGCGAGCATTTTAACTTAAAAGCATTGTTAATATGTATGTCTCTTAAATATTTTCAAAGCCCTATTTTTTTTACAAATATTCTGAAATACAGTTTAACAGTTTTAAAAATAATAATTTAATCCTATATTTGCACTCTCTCAGTGTGGAAATTTTTTATTATTAAATTAATGTTGTATAGCATCTTTATCGTCCTCGAATTTTAGGGTTATTCATCGAGGTAGGATAATCTAAAATATCCAAGTTTGAAGCATAATCATTTAATAAACAGAGAGCCCATCATACACTGTTTCAAAGAAAATCGAATGATTTATTTTCCTTATATAATTACATAGTTTTTCCAATTTACACATCTGTGAAAGAGACTCAATAATATTACATAATTTTAATGCAATTGTCAATGACAAATTTAATGCTGATTATATTTGAAGCCTAAATAGTAGAAAACGCCGAATTATATTCACATTCAGTCTGCAAATGATAACTTCGAAGTAAAAATCACCGAATAATTCTCATTTATCAAATCAGTTTACTTTTGAACTGTTACAGCTTCCTTGTAGATGGTATCAAGCTATAATATTGTATTGATTTAAACAAATTAATAAGCGAGAACACAGACTATTAACAAACTAGAATTTTCTAATTACACAGAATAGAATTTTTTAAGCAACAGAACTTGATAAAATTTTGGTCTAAATGGATTCTGATAAAATGTAAAACCGATAGCTAAACCTCAATGAGTATGCTACAGAACCTGTATAATTTAAATATATCTAATTTGAATTTCTTCTTACTTAACGCAAAAAGCGTTTCTGTAAAGAATTCTTGTTTTCGTATATTTTTTCCCTGACCAGTATACTATTGAAACAGCCGAATTTTTCTTCGAACGTATTATGATAAAATGTTTTCAAAGAAAAATATGTTAGAACAACATTAATAAGCTATCGAAAAATACTAAAGAAGGAATCATTTGAACCCTTAAATGAAAAAAAACCTAACTTCGTTATTTACAGACTATTACTTTTATATGATTCTGATATATGATATTCTGATATTTTACAGTGTTCTAAAAATGCCTATTTCGTTTCAAACTACATGAGCCTATAAGATATTCCAGAAGGTTTTTTTTTTTTTTTTTTTTTTTTTTTTTCATTTTGTTATGAGCTCTGCATGCTATGCTGCCCTATGAATCCTAAGAAATTTCTATTCATAAAGTCTAAACTTTGTAATACACTAACGTTTCTGAAAATTTCAACACCATGAAAGAGTTATGCAAATAGAACCAAACTTACAGGAAATGTAAGGTGAGATAAGACTTGCAAATGTTTAGAATTACAGAGCGATTGAGCATGCGGAAAATAAGAACCAGCAACCAGTTTGTTCCATGTATAAAAAGGATGTTGAGTTGCGTTAAAAGCTGTTTATCATCCTTTGTCTGCGGTGAACGTTTAATTAGTGGTTAATATGCCTCGTCAACGGCGGAGGATGCCATACCAAAAACTAACGAACTTCAAAGGAGACCGCATCGTCGGCACGAGAGGGTAGACTTACCGAGCAATCGCAGCCAGCACGCAGCGTAATGCCACAGCAGAGATACGTGTTTGAAAGAAATGGACAGAGGCGAACCAAACAAAGTAAAATCCTGGCGGTGGGGCGTGTAGTAAAACAAAGGCACCAGACGACAGACACCTTATCCGCATGACTGTGACGGGTCGTATAGCGTCCCCTTGTGTGTCAGCACAATGTTGGAGCACGGCTACAAGTGTTGTCTAGGTCCACGGTTCGTCGCCGTCTGTTTCAGCATGAAGTGTGTGCAAGGGTTCGTCTACGCAAGATCTCATTGTCGTTGAATCACAGACGCCTCCGACTTCAAGTGGGCACGGTAACACAGTGCGTAGCATGCCCCGTGGCAACAAGTGGTTTTCTCCAATGAACCTTGCTACAATGCGAGTACAGTTGTGGAACAGTACGCGTCAGACGCTACAGAGCGGAACGTCTGCTCTTACAGTGTGTTATCCAGCGTTATACCGCACAAATTCTTGGCATCCTAGTGTGCGGGTATAATTATCGATCGCATC